GAAGAAGAAGAAGAAGAAGAAGAAGAAGAACAACAACAACAACAACAACAACAAGAACAAGAACAAGAAGAAGAACAAGAACAACAACAAGAAGGGGACAAAAAGCTACGGTGTCATTGGAAAGCCCAAATTTGTGGCATGCGCCAAAGAAGATAAAAACCTCTTATAAAAAACCCAACTATCGACCCCTCCACAACTCCCCCAAAACGCAAAAACCTCCGCGGAGACTCGTAAAAAAACCCCGGCCCCCACATAGAGTAAAGAGTTCCTCCTTTCAGCACCTAAGGGCAGGCTACTCCACTGGAGCCGTCAACAATTTTTACACGTTTGTCACCTCCCTTGGTTTGCTACGCCTAGAGGGCGCGGAGTTTTGGCGCGGGGAATGCCGGGAAAATGACACCCTATTACGCGCGAGAGCGGCCCCGTTGCCCCGGCAACCAGAGGGCGAATGTGTAACATTAGTCCTGTTCCCAGCCACGCTGGGGCGTTGGAGCAAAATTTATCATGTACGGGGCTGGTAATTATAGGCCGCGTAATTTACTGGCAGGGAGAGAGAAGAGGCGGTTTTATTACAAGGAAGGAGTGTTCAAGTTTCGAGATATTTTTCCGTGAAGCCGTAATTATGCAAATTACCTCGGGGGACGTGAGGAGAGGCGGGTGTGGGTGAGTGACAGGGGGACGCTGGACGGGACATATTCTATGTCCTATTAAGGCCTGACGACAAAAATACTGCTTGTTTTTCCCTGATTTTATGAGAGACGGACGCGTTGTGGGGTCGGGGAGGATGGAGAGAAGGGCAAGAGGGGGAGGAGGAGGAGGAGGAGGAGGAGGAGGGGATGGGAGAACGGAGGGAGCTCGTTTGAAGAAGGAAGAAGAAGGAGGTGGTGGAGGTTGAAAAGAAGAAGAAGAAGAAGAAGAAGAAGAATTCGAAGAAGAATTTGAAGAAGAATTTGAAGAATTTGAAGAAGAAGAATTCGAAGAAGAATTTGAAGAAGAATTTGAAGAAGAATTTGTAGAAGAAGAAGAAGAAGAAGAAGAAGAAGAAGAAGAAGAAGAAGAAGAAGAAG